GGACTAGGGTTATGGGAAGAGAAAATGAAGTTGTGTCTCAGGCTATAGGTATTTATATTATTGGTTTCTTGGTATGTGGGGTGGAAAGTGGAAAAAAATGGGAATTATTTACTGGTAGGATAGGGTTATGGTTTTAGATAATTTTGGTTCATCTCATGTTATACGTGGTTTGAAGTGATTTACGCATAGTAGTACAGTAACGTCTGTTTTGAAATGCCCGGGTCTTGCTCATTATCTTGCTTGGATTCAGGACTTTATAGCTCATCCATTACTTCTATTTTTGGTATGCGGTGAGTATGGTCACAATTTGAAATTTATGTGTTCGAGATTCTAGTTCTTTTAAATTAATGAGTTCTAAATTAATAATTTGTATATATTCAATAGAATTTTTTTAAGATAAAATAAGGTTTCAATAAAAGCTATTGGGTTCGGCCGAATCCGTAAATTCTATGCTAACACCGTCCCTGCGGTGGTGGAAGAGTACAAATCTATTCGAACCTCGTATTTATGTCAAACCAAACTAATTACCATGGTTAAGTTATAAATTTATGTACTATTAATTAACTACGGTTTAGTGATTAGCGTATATATAAAGATATGTGTAATATCATTGAATTGGTGAAAATACTGGGTGATAAAAAAAAAATCATGGTGTAAGTTACATAATGATAATACAATAAAAAAAAAATTGTGACACAACCCTTAATTATAACAGCGTTTAGAAATTTGTTTTCTGACTCAGTGACTCTAATCACAATTTTATCTAACTTGTAAATTTTCTTTTATAATTTAATTAATGATAAAAACAAATAATGGAATTAATGATAGGAATCACCCTTTGGTCAGTACTAATTAATTTTTTGTCTGGAGGATATATGAGGGATCTAATTCTGATACATCTGGAACGGGCAGGAAGAAATTAAGCCAAGAAATGAGCGTGAATATGGGGCTATCAAAGTGTTATTTATGATGAAGAATCAAACACGTTATCATTTTTCATGTTCTTTGTTTAAATATTCTTATTATATATCATGAGCATTTATGACTAACAAAGCACTCTGCCAATGATAAAAAAATAAACAAAAGTTAGAAAGAAAGAAAGAAAGATCTCCTGCCGATAATTAATTATATCTGTAAATGTCGTTTAGTTATTTATATTAAGTTTAAATTATATGCATTGCAAACGTAAAGAATTTTTATATTTAAACTAGTTACCACAGGCTATTTACTATATTTTCTAAGTTACGCATCAAATTTTGTTATAAACATATTTATTTATGGGATTTTCACACAAAATAATCCACCCCTACAATAAGCTGATAAAAGTATATTTTTGTATATTAATGCATAATGTATGAATCAAAATCTATCTCTAGAATATTTTTAGTCGAAAAGGTATTAGTAAAACATTCAAAGGCCGCCATGTGTCGAAGTGATCTAATTAACAACGAAGTCCATGGTCGAAGAGTCAGCAAAGACTGAAGTCGAGGAGTCGTCAAAGATCGAGGCCGAGGTCGAATACCCTTGACAGAGTTATAACGGCTAGTTTCAAGATAGGACATTAAAGAGAATATTCTAGTGGATATTTTCTGTATTTGTACTATTAAAGTTTTTAGGAACATGTTCCCTATAAATAGAAAGAGACACAATGATAGGGAACATAAAATATTCATTTGAAAAATATACTTTGACTTTAGAGAGAGAATCTAATCTTATTGCAAGCCTACAAAAATAACATTTTCACTAAAATTCTTGTCCACACTTTTTCACTAGATCAGAGAATAACTCGAATATTCAAAGGCTTGTCCATCATTCATCATTGTCACAAAGAACATACATTGATTTCATCCTTTCTCGGGTGACTGATTAGTTCTATTTATATAAATGTCATTTATTGTTATTCATCACTATTTAATGCTATATTACTTATATTTGAGTCCTTAAATATTAATTATTGCACACCGTCATAGCTTTTGGAATAGATCTACGTGCTATTTATCTTTCACGACTTCAATTTCCTCTGTAGTATGTCGTGACGGTACCTAATCTCTAAGACTAGGTAAACCTAACAAACACGCGGAATAACTGAAATGAT